TTAGATTTAACTTTCATCAATTACGTTCATTAGATAATGTTATTTTATGATCAGGCAGTTCCTCAATATATTCTCTATAATGCTGTACTTTTAAGCACGTGGAGTACCGCAAGGTGTTTTCGTAGGAACGCCTTTTCGCGTAGCATATTTTATTTCTATTAGTGGTTCGTCTTCAATTTTGATTAATCTACTAGACTTTTATAAGAATATATTTTCTATAATGCTGCACTTTTAAGCAATTGGAGTACCACAAGGTGTTTTCGTAGGAACGCCTTTTCGCGTAGCATATTTTATTTCTATTAGTGGTTCGTTTTCAATTTTGATTAACCTACTAGATTTTTAATTTTTTTTACAAATATTGCATAATAGCTTAACAATGTTAACACTGTTTTAAATTACATTTTATGTTATACATGGAATTTAATAAAAATGCATTAAAAATCGGTAAAACTTCGTTATTTTACGATCGATTTATTTATAAACGAAAAATGATTTAATTATAAAAATTCTTTAAACTTTGGAATAATGTTTTTTATTCTATACATACAAGCGCGTGTTCGTGCACTCTAATTTATACAATTACAGATCTTATTATAAGTTTGTTTCAAAGATATCAATTGAAAATTGCATTTATTAGAAAAAGCTTTATTTTTTAAATAAAAAGTTCAACATTGTATTTAAATAGCTAGATATCAATTCTTATTGACTATGTGGATTATTAACGTATCAGGAAGTTCATGCAATTTGCCTTAAGGCAAAATGCGACTTACGCCTAGTTTCATTTACTCTTCAACAAAACTCTTTATGCTCACAGCACAATGGTAAGTATAAATCATGACAAAATTTTAACCTCAGTTTTGAAACAGAATGTGCTCAAAACATGATTTGTTCATATTGTTTAAGTTGTTTTTACGAAATTTATATCTATTTGTCGTGTAAAACTTTAGCGACTCTTAGCCTACAACTAGTTTAAATAGTGTTTTTCCTAGGATACATTTTTTTCTTATAATTAGCCAAATTAGCCGTCACTGGTTGGCATACGATTTAGGCATTCTAAACTTACCAAAAGTTAGGTAATACTCCTTAATGGAAAAGGTGCAGATATAAAAAAAAATGTTGGTTAAATATTATAGTTATTTTCTTAATGCCCAGTGAAAGGAGTATTATTCAATTTATATTTTCTTATATATCCATTGTTATCGACTAATTTATCTTTCTCAATAAATAATCTTTATTTCTCGATTATTTGTACATACTTCTCGAAAGCAACAAATTTATGAGTGTGCGGTCACAATGAATATTAGCATATTTATTTGTTAAATATGTTAATGTATATTGAAATACGAATTTTTAACGAGATGTATTTCGTGCTGGAGCAAATAATTAATTGCGATTCTGTGCTAAAGTGACGGTTCAATATCTGTTGCTGGCATGTTATATTTTGTGGTCAATCATCGTCGCTAAAATTTTATGGCGCATTTCCACGCGAATATAAATGAGTGGTTATGATCGTCCACACATAAATAATGTTGTCTCCTGGCCGTGTTCGCGGTCATTTTTAAATATATATCGAATTTATCTCAAGGGGCTCCGATATAGGATGAATCAAAAATTTTTCAAGGCACATTTTAATGATGTAATTAATAATCAGGATAATTTACCACGAGACTTACTCATGATAATTAGTTTTTTTCCTCATATTTTCTAGGTTGAACTATTTAAGAATATGTGTGCAAGAGGATTCTTCAAAATTTAAATTATTTTCGAAGATATTAAGTTAAGCTGACCATGATAATCTTCTTCTATAAAACGCGTTTTCCTCGAAACTTTCTTTTTCCATACAATACCCACGATTTCTCAGCTTATTTGGAACTGATTTACTTAAAAATTTTAAAGGGTCTTCTTTATAGACTTATAGACTCATCAATATGAACTACTCTCATCTCCAAATTCAGATTTTTGTTGTAAAAAAGTTGTATTTTTTTGGACGTAGTTCATGCAATTGCGTATTAGTTATTAATATTTTAGATTAATAAAATATTATATAATATTAATATTTTTTCTTCCCATTATTTAGGGAATTTTGAGTATGGTCAGATGCCATTTTTTTAGACCCCTACTAGTTCGGATGTATTTTCGTTTTATTATATTGGCCATGAAGGTGACAATCTTCATGGCATTGAGCTTTTACACAGAATGGTTGCGGGGTAGCGGAGAGTTTAATGGGACTAATTGTCCACTTCTAAATAAGTCCGCGAAACAACATGTGTAATAAATAATAAATAAATATATCTTCTTTCATTATAATTTAGTGACAAATCAGTGATTGTAATTAGAACTGCAACAAATACATAATATATCAACAAACCAGTGTTTAATACAGTCTACAGCAACAAGGGTTAAATTATAACCCAACAAACTGAATTATTGAAAGAGAGTTTTAATAAATTCCATAACTACGTAGCGCACATATACCCCTTACTCTATCACCTTCTAGATTTATGACTATTTTTAATCTTTATCTTATTTTATATTCTCAAAACATTTAAAAACTTGTAAATAAAATATAGTAAAAATATTGTTTCCTTTTTTGCGGTTTTTGAAAAATTGCATTAAATTCATACTTTGACACCAGGATATCCCCTTGAATAATGTAAAAATAAAACGATTTTGTGAAAGCATAACTGAATGAAATTTTCTATCACATCTGATAATTTTTATTCATATTATGTAATAAAGGAATAAATGTATGTACATATATCAATAAAGATGTCAAATTAATTAGCATTTGCATAGAATGAAAAGGGTAAGGATAAAAGTACAATAAAGTACACATTAAATATTTTACAATAGCAATTTTCAGCATAAATTGCACTTTGAAGGAAGCGATTCCCAAACTTCTATATACCCTTTTAATTTCAAGAGTTTGTTTATGTGTTATGACGATGCTGATATATGTTTCTTATAAATATAAAAAATACATTTACATATGAAAAATATTTTTGCAACATTTATTTTACTACATGTGTTCAAGTAATGCGAATTCTCTGTTAATGTCCACAAATGAAAGCTCAGATGATGAGTCTACTAGAATTTGCATACAAGGTTAGCGTTGAACAAATATTGCTATACGAATTCCATATAATTACATCCAATAATGCTTTAACATTGCTGTAATCATATCCCTCTGTATTGCGAACAAACGCAGAGCTAATGTCTTGTGTTCATTTTCCATAGTAATCCTGAGCTTTGATCTTTGTACGTATTATTAATTTTAACAATGACGGACGATAAAACTTGATTAAAATTTGTAGTCGAGTCAACATTATTTGTGGACATTAAATCTTAAAATATGACGATTAAGATTATTGTTTCCTGAGGATATTAATATTAATATTCTGCGGACTTTATGAGATGAGGAATTTAAATTCAAAACTTTATTGATACCACTACTAATAAGTTATACATATGAGCGCTTAAACAACTACTCATATTTATCAGCATGAGAGCCGCTTAATATTTCAAATGGACGTATGTTCTTTCTGCGATCATGATTGTTTTAGCAACGAACTTCGAGTTACATATAAATATATATATACATACATATATATATATATATATATATATATATATATACCCACTGTCAATTTAACATCCATAAACCGAGTTTATGCACGATTTCTTTGAAGCACGACTTTGGCTGAGCTTTAATAAGTTATTACCTAATTGTTTATCAAATGATTGTACTTTACTGTTTGTTTGTACTACAGACATATAAATACATCTTCTACATGAGAATATTTATTTGCTTCAGGAAATACTTTAGTTTTGATGATTATTCTTGGAAAAGTATTTTAAAAATATTATTTTGAATTTCACCTTATGTAGGCATAATTTGCTAATGTGTTCATATAATATACGGTTTTGAAAGGCTTGGTCTCAAAATTTTATTTCTGAAATCAAATTTGAGTTTGAAATCAATTGTTTGAATTTTATATAAAGTTCTTTATTAATATTTATTTTCCACCAATAGTTTTTTAATGCAATAATAATTCTGAGAGAACAGCGTGACTTAAGACGTTTTTCAGAAATTCACCGAAAATTCATATGTGTCATTGTATATGCAAATATTTTTATTTTATATTGTCTGCGGATATTGCTAATCTTTTACCGTTTATTGTATTGTTATCCGTGTTATAAAAGCTTTATTTTATTCGGAAGCTCACTTCTTAGTCTTAGAATTTTAGACTTTCATTTAACATTGCTTTCATTAAACTTTTATTTGACAAGCTCCAATGTGCAAGAGAGAAACATTTGACGGTTTTTACTTTTTCACTTGAAATTTTTCAATAATAAAATTATAAAATATTCAACCATTTTACAATCTTGATTAATAAATGCGCCAACTTTTGATGAAACTGATCAACACACTTTAGTACAGTTTTTTAAAAGGAAGGCACTCACAAAATCGACGGTTTTTGTAAATTTTAAATTTATAATTCAAGAAAAAGTTTGTCCTAAGTGGTGCTAAAAATGTTATTCACGATTACGGTTCCGAAGTTTAAATGAACAAATTTAATAGAAATTAACCCAAATAACCGAGAAATGGTCACAATTTTACCAAAGCGCTAGGTTGCACTTAAAAGCTCAAAACTTACAAATAACGTGAAATATTTTTGTTTAATTTTTTTTAGTACAGTTGAGATTCAGGGACAGGATAAGTTCTGGGACATATTACTATTTTCTAAAAATACAATAAAATATTTTCCATAAAAAATTATTGATAATTATCAACCCAAATTAGAAATAATGGATATCACATAAAAGCGTGATTTGTATGGATGTGCTTCGTACCTGACTAACAACGATTATTTATATTTTTTCTTGATATATATGATATATTTATATTATATGATATATTTTATGCTTTATGATTAATAGTTTTAAATAAACTAATTTCCTAATTAATATTATAATATATAATATGCTTTTGATCTTACATGATTTTGACGGTCGTAACAGCGTGCTTCGCACCTAGCAAACCATAAATCGTCATCCAGACGTAGACGTGCTACATCCTTTGATACATAATTTGCAATTTTTTGGGCATACAAGTAATTCATAGTTGTTAATAATATGACGAATGACATATATAAACGTGACATCTGAAAATAATAATAAATAAGTAAAATAATGCATTTAAATAAGACACGTAACTAGACATTCAGGGGGTAGATTTTACCATAAAATAGGCCAATGTTAAGGCTAAGCTATGTTATGTAGTAGTTTTAATATAAAATGGTACTAAAAACTGTGAAAATCCTATGTGGTTTCTGTTTTAGAATACGCACAAATGTCTAAAAACCTATTTTATCATAACTGCATATTAGAGATATGGCTTAACAACATATGAGTGAAGTTGCATTTTATGCGTAAAACGCACGATTGCACAGCAAATACAAGGTATTTTGGCAGTATTTAGTAGCATTTTGTATGCAAACTGGAACTTAACATAGCCTTACCATAGGGCGGCTGACTTACTGCAATAATGGAAACTTGTTCGAACGAACATACTTCATTTTTTTCCCTTTGGACTCAAAATCAGTATAAATTAACTTAACATTGGTCTGTTTTACGGCAGAATCGGCCCATAAACTTACTTAACTTCAACATGTTTAACAATAGTACAAAATGTTATAATAATAAGGATTCATTAATACCTAAAGTTCTAATTTGTATTATTGCTGATATTCTTACTATATTTGTTTTATGATATTTAAAATATTATATTATATTATTTATACAACAAATAAATCAGCAATAAAAAGAATTGAACCAAAGTTAAATTTGCTTTTGATCACTTTTTATATTGACGAATAACTTTCAAAAGCTCTGAAAGCTATAATAAAAATACATTCTTACTAGTGTTTTGATTCATTGAATGATTGATTTAAGAAGTCATTGTTACAGTTCTATGCAACAAAAAATGTTTTTCCTCAATTATTGTATACTTACGTTTTTAATTTCTTCTTCGCAAATTATAAAGTATGCTAAGTTTTTCATGAAGCACTTGTATAGTTTTCACATATTTTGTTTTCTTTTTAATCTTCAATCACATTTGCAAATAACTTGCACTTCAAATCATTTTCATATATCTCCGACAATAGTATTCATTCATTCTTGAACTATTCCATTAGAATACTGTTATGTTACATTAAACTTTTACACGACACAATAATTAATTTGGGAATGATTGATTTATTTTGGTTTATAAATCCATTAATACGAATGCAGGAATAACTAACTCACATATCATATTTCAATAATCAGTTAACACATAATTCAAATTTCTATAAATTTACTAGAATTAAATTCCGGACTATATTATTCAAATTATAGCGCGGAAAATAGTTCTAATGTTTTATGGGGTAGTTTTCTTCGCGCACTTGGTTTTCCGTATGCCGGACTTGAATGTAAGAATTTGCCAGTCCGCCGACCATGGCCCAGCACGGACCTTTGTCGTATCCTCGAGGAGGGATAAAGAACACAGCAGTGCTTCTCAATCTGTATATATATTAACTTTAAGATAGTCCGCAATCCAATCATTCTTGGTTCTTCTTCCTAATTAAATACTTATTTTATGAAAAATATAAAATTTTTATTGTAATTTTTTTATTAATGATAAAAAATAAGCAAGTATGATGTTATTCTCAAAATTTAGCTTCACTTGTCGCTAAGTTATGAAACAAATGGAATTTTACCCATGTTAATTCTAAGATAATAATATTAATATTAAGAGCTAAAACTTTCCGAAAATATTTTTTCATCAATGTGTAAGCATTTGAGCTCCTGGGAGCAAGGAAATTGGAAAACATCCGTATTAAGGACCGCCCTAATATAAATATATATATGTATGTATATATATATATATATATATATATATATATATATATATATAACAGGGAACTGAAAGCCGAAGCACACGATCAAGAAGCATGGAAACAAAAGTTTGGAAAGGAAAATACATGAAAAAAAAGGGGGGGATAGACAATAGTGGTAATGGGATGAAGGAAAAGGAAATCATTTGTTGTGGTGGCTCTCACACCATGGACCTGCCTTCGGGCAGACTACCATTTATTATTATTATTATTATATATATATATATATATATATATATATATATATATGTATATATATATATATATATATATATATATATATATACTGGCAAGCCCGGCCAAGCTTTGCTGCGGCTTTTACTATAATCAATCCTCCGGATTGAAATTTGAGTCTGATGATCAATTTTTTTTAAATTTACATCAATCAATGAATGAACAAAATTATTAAAGTTTCAAATAAGTTTTCTTTTTTTTTCAAAAAATATTCACCAACTTCCAATTTGAGAATGAAAATTTTTGCTGATATTTTTTATTCAATTTTTTATATAATTTCTGTTTTTAATAAAAAATGTATAAATACTTCTTATACTAGTAATTTATTTTTATAACAGGGGTGACTGGGCACGGTTGTGACACTATTTTTTTGATCAACAATTTTGTTATTTTACCAGTCGCTAGAGAAAAGTAAGTATTAAATGGTAACTTGAACATTTGTCTTTGTGGAAATATTGAAATACTGTCCTTAAATACGATGGATTTGGATATGTCATAAATTGGATATGTCATAAAATCGAATCATACAAGAAAAAAGCGAGTGTCACAATCATCCAGGCCTCCAAGACGGTCGTGACATGCACAAACGTAGGTCAAAAACAGAAGCTATAAATACTAAAATGGTTTTCAACAATTTTTATTGTTAGAAATATGTAAAACAATATGCTTATAAATATAACAATATATAACTTTTTTAAACGAAGTTAAGATAAAATTTGTAAAATCTTTATTTTCTGTATTGAATTTTCCTTTTTTTTCTCTTTCGTAGTTTGTCTTAGTTGAGTTAGATTTATTTTATCTGTCTAATCTTCACCACAAAAGGACAAGAAATACATGTCGCAACAATACCCACAAAAATTGTCACAACCGTACCCAACGCACACTTTTGAAAACAAATTATCGTTATGGATGGTTAAGCTAAATTATCTACACAAAAACTAATTTCTGGTAAATAACTTTTAATGTTTAACTTACACCAAAATAATTAACAAAGTGATCTATCTGTATACAAGTAATTGTTATTATTGAAAGAAATTGAACAAACTTACTTTTGACTCTTTAAAAGCAATGCGGTCTTTAAATCATGCTAATGTAATAATGAAACTTGTTTTAACAAACATACTTTATTTTTCTCCCTTTGGACCCTATCTCACAATCAACATAGTTTAGCTGTTATGATAATCATCTCTCCTACATTTAATACTACCTACTACCTTTAATACATTTATTTCGATTCTTAATTCTAAGTTATTATATTCCGAGTGATCAAAATCTAGATTTTAAAATGATGAGATTTAAATTTAAGTTTATTTTAATTTGCTTAATTAATCTATATCGATTTAATTGTTGTCGAAAAATGTTAAGAACCTCTGTCAAAATATTGTTCCCACCGCGTTATGTTCTTGCTGATGACGATTCTCAAACATTCGCAAAATACGACCAATTCCTAATTATTATTTCAATTTCAACTAATAAAAATATTTTAACTAATTGTTGATTCATTAATGAGCTAGCTGGACCAAGTAAACATTGTGATAACATATAATAAACAGTTTAATAAGATTTCAAAAGAAACATGTTTAAGGTATTTAAGGAATAGTGATGGTCTACTTTTTTCAATAGATTCTTTTTTATTCCTATAATCATAGTTATTAAAATAAATGTGAGGTTGTGTATAATAAGTTTTTGCTTGAAAGCCTGGAATGAATTTATTCTAATGATCAATCTATAAAGTAGACCTCATGCTTTTTCAGTCTTCCGTAGAATATAAATAAAAAGAAAATTATATATTGAGATTCAAAAAAACTGTAATTACTTAACTTTATAAGTAGTTTATGGTTTTACATTTTACTATAAGAATTTGTAGATATTTTACAGCTGCTTGTTTCAATAAAAACATTTTAGGGTGTTTGTTGAAAGACTTGCATCTCTCTTGATGTTAATTATATAATTGACAAATACTACAAATTATAACAAAACGCACAGAATTATTTCGATATTTTTATTATTAATTTTATAAAAATATAATACAAATTATTATTTCATAAAAACCAATCAACTAATATAGCGCCGAATCATATTATAGTCGTCAATCATTGAATTTAAAATTAATACGTGAATTGAGAGTTCGAGTTCGTAGACTTCATGAATCTGTTGAATTAGCAATAGTCATCTTTTCCCTCCTGGTCTTCCCCATTTCCATTACCATAACCGCCATCATCATGACCACCGTCGTCCATTCCTTCGTATCCGTTGGAGCTTTCCTGACCTCCATTCTCGTAACCACCATTTTCGTAACCGCCGTTTGTATAACCGCCATTTTCTTCGCCGCAATCTTCTTCAGCACCACCATCACCACCATCACCACCATCACCACCATCACCACCATCACCACCACCATTCATTTCATAGCCACCACCATTTTCCTCTCCAACGCATTCTTCTTCTACTTCTTCCATCTGAAAGTTTTAATAATATGTTCAATAGCAAATATATTACATTTCACAATTAGGTATATTTTGGTGCTAATGATATGACCAAGAATATTTTAATTGATTTTTTTTAACTTAGAATTTTGGTATAATTGTATCTAAAAATATAAATATTTTGTTAAGCTATTTGATTTTTAGAACGAAATTTTTCCCCATGTTGTAACACTGAATTATTTTGAATTCAAATAAATACTAATAGATTTTTAATAACTTTTAATTCTCGTGGTGTTAATAGATTTTTGATATTGGACAGGAACACTATGATATATTTCTTCTATGTTTCAAGTCAGATAGAATATTTTTAATTTTTTGTGTTAAATTTTGAATATCTTACCGATGATGCACGAGCCATCGCAAAGATGCTCAGGCCAGCAATTAAAAGGAGAACCAGGCTGAATTTCATGTTGATATGATTGATGTCAGAACAAGAAGTAGACTGATTTAGCTAATCCAAACCTAATGCTTTTATATGATTTTAAATCCGTTTATTTTTATTTTAACAAAAAGAAAATTAAAATACGATCGCATTTTAACGCATAGTTAATGCCTTTGTTTTATTGCCATTGAAATATTTTCATTCATTGCGAAACGTTCATAATACGCAATATTCTAAATATTTTTGTTTTTGTGTGTATGGGTATGTTTGTTTTCTATAAAGTATTTAATAATTACAAAAAAGTTAGTTATTGATGTGCGTAACTATTTTTTTCATTATATTTCTATTTTTACAGTTGCCTATGTATGTTTAAAATTCATTGCCATCATGATATATATTTCAACAAAATCTTGGTTGAACTTATTAAAATGACCGATCACGTTTTTCGATTTGTGTTGCATAAATTTTAAACTCTTTATGTATGTCAAGATTTTTTGTAATTTTTTCGCTATTCCATGTGTTTAATTTTAATATTATAATGCATAAAATCAAATTCGGAGCAGAAATGCTGTTATATCCATTATAATATATTGGATATACCATATTATGTGATAAGTAGCATTTATATTGCATGGAATGCTTTTGGGTTTAAGACAAATACTTCATTTGTAATTTTTTTAAAATTAATTTACTATAGGGTTTGTTCGGATATACTTTATTTTATAAGGATTAAATAACAATATTAATTGCTTCGCCCTCTAATACTCTCTAAAAATGTTTAGGAGATTTATTTTGTTTCATTTTTGAGAGGGATCACATTATTTTAAATGTAGTACTATAGATGCATTATGCAGTTTTATTTTGGAATTTTTTTATTTCACTATGTAGTTAATTATTAAGGCAACTTTTATCTAGAAATACACAACAAAACTAGAGAACTTAAAATAGTATGTAAAAAAAAAATAAAAAAATAACTGTTAGAACTTGATACGTTCAAATTTAAAAATAAAAACTATCACAAATTTTCTTTGAACGATTGCTGTTTTAGTTCAAATTGATTTATTAAAACACACATTTTTCTGTTCTTATTTATTAAAAAAGAATACATGCTACAGTATTTATTTTCAAAATCTCTTTCGACCTCAAAGTCGAAATCTATTAAAATAAATTAATAAACCATAAAAATGAATAAAGAATTAAGAATTAATTAATTAAGAATTAAGCAGTTTTAAAATGTCTTAACTGGAGAATATACAATTAATTCTAATATTATTTTCAACTGTGCACCGCGTGTGAATACTTTAGTGGGAACAAATAAGTATTTTAAAGTAGTATTTTGGTGTTTCTCCAACACCTAAAATTTTCATTTTCTAAAATCTTATGTACTCACTCTTAAAGAATTGAATAAATATATGTATTTATGAATATATATATATATATATATATATATATATATATATATATATGTAATTTTTGAGAATCAGAATAATTTAATTTATTTTTTTCTTGTTGTTTAACTAAAACTAAATTTAGTGATATAAAACTATATGACAAATGTTTCATTAAATAACTATTGCTATTTATAATAGTATTAAATTACATTTGTGTTGTGTAAAAAAATAATAAAAATCCTGATGTAGTTTCAAATTTTATTTTTATTGAATGACAACTTTTTAGATTATGTCCTGAAAATAAACGTATTTAAAATTTTATGCATGTTTACTACACTTATTGTTCACATCAATTACATTTTGTTCCAAGTTGTTTTCAAGAATAGTTTATTTTGCAATAAAATTTGTTTTCTTAGAAATATTATTTATTATTACTTAATTAAAATTCCAAATTAGAAACAGTGATTATTTCTGTTCTATTTCAATTGTCATAAATAATAATCTATCCATATTAAAATGTGGGATTGATATTACAAGCTTTATTAAAATTGTAATTTATTTTATATAATTGCCATCTATATTCACAATGTATAAGTAAAATTTCTTGACGTTTTGCGTACATATTATCGTTAGCTATCTAGAGATGGCAATGCATCACTAATATTATAAATTTGAGATATACGAATTTATTATTTATTTTTTAACACAGTTAATTCAAGCAAATACTATATTAGCATTTTCGTAAAGTTTAATGAATTATTGATCTTAGATTTTTTGATATACGGAAAAGACTCATGATTAAATGTGTGTAAAGCCTATGTCATATTTTGTTTCTAAAATTCGCCATAAACACAAGCTTTTTTTATGTTTTATTTATTTATTAAAAATAACTAAAATTATAACATCATGTTTATCTATATTTATAAAATCAGTTTTCCTTATTTGCTAAAATTTAGAAATTATGATGAATGAAACAAGATTTATCTATTTAGGGTTGTACAAGACTCTGGTTGCTTTATTTATCGTTATTTTTATCTTTCCTCTGGGTTTTCTGGGTTTTCTGGGTTTTCTGGGTTGCTTTCGTCGCCTTCGCCTCCTTCACCGCCTTCGCCCCCTTCTCCTCCTTCTCCTCCTTCTCCGCCACCTTCTCCTTCGCCTTCTTCAGCAGGTTCTTCGCCACCCTCCTCACTTTCTTCTTCACTACTTTGTTCTTCAGATGCTTCTGTTGTCGTTTGTTCCTTGTCACATTCGTCTTCCTCCTCTTCGTAGTCATAGCAATTAAACAGCGAACTTAACAAGTCGAAGAATATCTTGAAAAATATTTCAAAATAATGGTAAAATAAATAATACGATTTTTCGAATAAAAGTGAATGATTTTATTATTATTATAAATTATGATTTATTATTTTATAATAATGATTTTATTACTATATATATATATATATATATATATATATTATATATATATATATATATATATATATATATATATATATATATATATATATATATATATATCATAACTATTTTATGATTTTTAAATTTTTCAAATTACTTTGAATCGTTTAACATCATTTTTAGAAAAAGTATATGAGTATGCGTGAATGCAAATGTTGGTCAAAAACAGCTGCACTGACTTCAGAAACTTAAAACTTGAAACCTTATTTTTATTATCGATAGAACCGATTTTATTGACAAAAAAAACATTCTGCTTTGTAAAATTCAAAAATTCAAAAATTAAATAAAAACAGTACGTAATCGTTCGTATTGAAAAAATAATTGCAAATATTACATTTGTATATTACGTAATGCGCGATGATCAGAACGCATATAAATAATTATTAAAAATGTCAATAACTAAATAAATACATGAAATAATTATGAATATTATTATTATTAATGATTACATTTTAAATATATAAACAAATACATTAATTAATAAAATATTTATTCATAAATAATAAATACCGGTGATGATTCGACATGTTCAATCATTACGGCCGCAGAGACCAAAATGAAAAATATACTGAACTTCATTTTGGAAACTATTTCGTCCGTACTGCAATCGTGAATATCTGATTTTTGCGACAATAATGACTACTTATATATGGTCCACATTTGAAGCTAACCCAACTGAATATTTTACCTTTGACCAGGAACGTATTTTTTTATGAACGGTGGTTATTTTATGTGATTTCGAAGTTTCTGCATGGTTTTTGCACCAATAAGGTTCTCATGAATTTCGTTGTTCTTGGGTTCATTTCCTAGCTATCATTCTCTACCTTTCAAATTGAAAATCATTTTGAATTTCAAATGTAAATTTGAGAAATATAAAAGTCGGAGATATTCGAAATACCTACATTTTTATATTGCCAATAAATAAAAAAAAGATTTTTTAAAACATACAGAAACATATGAGTTTTCTAATGATGTTCAATGATATTCACTGCTATGAAGACGAGTAGTTTTTCTGAATATATGGAAAGATGAGTTATAATTATAATTATAGATTTTTGAATTTTTTGAAGACACTAGATTTCAGTAATTTTGGTTTATGGAAAGATTTACAAATTCTTACTTTTTCGATATTGAAGGAAAAGACTATAAATACGAAACATTTTTTTTTTCTTTTTTTCATATTTATCCTGTAGCAAATTATTTTTTTTATAAATGTTTCCTGTACAAAATTAATATTTTATCAAGTGTCCATTTGCTATTTAAATTATCCGATTTGGTACTGGAATATTATCATATTTCTTTTGTGAATTCAAGACGTATTGTTTATTGTTAAAATAAAAAAGGTATAGGATTTCGTTTCAGAGATCACGTACATTCAGGATATTACTTCCAAGAACTAAGTAGAATGACGGGTTTTCCATTGATTCATATTTGCATTATATTGTTTACATAGAATAAACTAAGGATTGAGAAATAAATATTTTTCGATACAAAACAACGCTAATGGTAGGATTGAAATGACTGCAATTAATTAAAATAATAGTAATTCAATAAGATTTTTTAACTTGAAAATTTTTCTACGTTAATGTGCTAACGGCTAAATTTAGTTTAAAATTTGGATGCAAGGATTGATAATTTTTTCATTGTTTATTTAATCAGTTTAGTTATTTTTTAAAAAAATTATCTCCATTAATTATCACCATAATAACATAAAATATCTGACTACAATTGTAATAATCAGGAGCGGTCCAAGGGTCCTCAGCACCCGCATCCCATTTCTTTCTTGGTGTCGCCTTTACTCTATTTTTTAAACTGTGTTCACAGTTTTTCATTGAAATTATATGAAATTTACTACGTATGTTTGCGCCCCCTAAGGCGTGCACCCGCATTTTTTGCAAGCATTGCATTCAGGGTAGGACCGGCTCTGGTAATAATATATCAATAATTACAAGAAACTTCATAATTTTTACAAGAAATTGATTTAAACATATATGATTAAATTATTTCTAAAAATACACATCACGTTTACCTACATTTCAATATGTAGTTGAAATTTGTGGTTACAATATTTCATCGAAGTATTATATCAAAAATTAATATGTATATTAAATGGGATATTAATAGTGGATTAACTATATAATGGTATATAATAAGATCTATATTATAAATTTATTTATA